TCTTATCGTTCTACACAAAATTATAATGACAAATGAACCCACTTACCTCGCTGACAAACTTGTGCGTGCCCTTTCAAAAAGAACTCATAATTTAATTTCTCAGAGGACAAGGTTTTGTGTTCTCAGAGACCATTTTATATCAATGCTGTTCGATTGTGGCTCGAACTGCCTCACTACCTCAAAACAATAAGAAGGGCTAATCAGTACAAAGTCAAATTCAAAGAATTTCTAAAACAACAATTAAAAGAACACTTATTAGTATTAAATTAAATTAGTTTTAAATATCATAAGTGAACAACTGTCTAGTGATTAAAGAAATATTGTCTGTTTTAAATTGTCTTGATTATAAACACATAGTGACTAGCGTAATCATTCATAAGCGTAATTCATTCATTCTTAAACTTGAAACGCTAGGGTACATCCAAATAAATAAATAAAATTAAATGATAATTGTCTGTCTTTCGGATTTCGGACGCGAGGTCCCCAATGAGTACGCTTCGCATTATTATCACCTGCTGCAAGGAACCGGTCTCCTAACTATTGAATTAGTGCTTTAATTGGTTTTTGGAGACGGAAAATCAGGGAGAAGAGTAAACAGCGGCAAGTGAGGTCATACCACAGTTTGTATTTATGTTTATTGTTGTAGCCTGCAAGCAGGTTGTTTCGTACGTTCAAAGAACCAATGACACATGGGTGTTGTGGCAGAGTGTGATGACGTTTCTGCGTTTGGGTGTCTGGGTGCCCTTTGAGTAGGGTAGTGAAGAATGTTGACAGATGAGACTGCTGAAATAGTCTTGTATACCGGGCATCCCTTATAGTTGGCATTATGGTTACCTCCGCAGTTACAACATTTTCGCCAATTTCAGCAACCATGGTTTTCCGCTTGTGTGGTTCTTCAACAGATATTTTACGATGCAGAAGGTATTGCAGATTATAGATGGAGTGAACTTTGTTTTTCTTGATTTGTTTCGTTTCGGGTTCAATTTTAAACATAGGCTGCGGAACAGATATTTTACGATGTAGAGGGTATTGCAGATTATAGATGGAGTGAACTTTGTTTTTCTTGATTTGCTTCGTTTCGGGTTCAATTTTAAACATAGACTGCGGAACTTTATTTCTGTTAATTATCATTATGGATCCTTTCACCGAAAAGCCTTCCGATTCCAAAACACGAACTGGTGCAAAAAAGCTTTTATTTTTGTGTTTTAATGCTTTGTCTACAATTCGGTAGTTCTCCTTATTCAGAATCTGAAGTTTGTCAGTGACTTTATGTTAAGCGTATGCTCGCCGATGAGGCAAATAACTGAGTTTATCAGCTCGTTGCTTATTGTTTCACGTAAGTATATGGGAGGCGGCTTGTTTAGACTATACTTCGTCGTCGTTGACAAGCAGTGCAAACTTATCTTCGTAAAGAAAGTTTTAAAACGTTCTCGTTTTTTTAGGTTGCGGGCTTACGCTTTACATTTATATACCTATCCAAACTGGTGGCACAGGGCGGTTTGGTGCATCCTCAATTTGTAATGACGGTACCAATATGCTCAAGTCGGCATTTGTAGGTGGTCGACAATGTGAAACCGAAATCGCGCGCCTTATATTCGAGCTTGTTTTATTGAGTTGGCTGTTTATAGCTGTTTGACTGTTTATAGCATACGGGCCAAATTTCATGTTAATGTCATTATCTGTAATTTATTTACGCTTGTGTTTACCAAACGACCAAGAGTGCGTTTTTCGATTTTTATAATGACTGATTAAATGTGTGATAAAATTGAGCAGAGAAGTGCAAATTTGGAGTGAAAATTCAGCTGAGGAAACGCTGAGGATGTTGTGGAAGACCTTTAGGGATTTTACCATGTCGCAGAAAAATTTTTATAGATGGTACAAAGACTTCAAGGAGGGTCGAACACGTGTTAATGACTTGGAGCACTCCGGACGACGAATAAGTGCACAAAAGTCGTCGGTTAAACTGTTAAGCCCTTACTGATTTGATCGGCATATCAGTAGGATCTGTGAAAACCATTTTGAAAGGCCATTTGGGCATACGAAAAGTCAAGTGATCAATTTCTTGCAAAAAGTCGTCGCGTTGATGTGTGTTAAAAAATGCTTTCTGACTATCAGGACAAGCTCAAATGCAAGTTTACGGGAGATAAGACTTGGATTTATGCTTACGATCCCGAAAAAAACGACCAATCAAGCGAGTATCGTGCTAAAGGCGGGGCCAGACCGAAAAGAGCACTTCAAGATCAAAACACATTTGGTAAACACAAGCGTACACAGTTGTATAACTTAGAGTATAGCCACAAGCGCAGAAATTATAAAAACAATAATTCAGCGCTTGAAAAACCATCCAGCCAATATTTTTTGGCATGCCCTGAATAGAGTCCGCGCCGAACTTGCAATTTTTCTGCTAACGATCGTGGGAAACCTACAACATTAACATTCCACCAACAATGATAATAGCCAAATTGCATCAGCCAATTATAACAAAGAATAGGCAACTGGAACAGCGATATCAGCGACAGGGACCAATAATAGTGAACGTCAGCAGAAGCAGCAACAGCATCAGAGACGGTGACAGCGATGGAGCGACGCGTAGTTATAAATTTTAGTTGTTTGTCATTAAGAAAATTAGTGTAACAAAGCTCAATATAATAAAGTTTAGTTTTTGTAACACAAAATTCTTAACTAAACTTTAGCTTATATATGAGGCAGAACTAAGCACAAGTGGTTATGAGTGGCTTATAGGCGTATTTTATTTTTAATAGTACTGGAATTATTCTAAAGGATTTGCACAGGGTGGCGTAACTTGAGCCGTTTGTATCACCACCAGTCAATACACCCGTTACTCGTAGAGTATAAGGGTGTATTTTTTCGTTAAAAAGTGTGTAGCACATTAATTCGATCACAGTCAAAAGACAAGTCGATCTAGCCATGTCCGTCTGTCTGCCCGTCGTTATAAACGTCGAGATCTCGCAAGCTATAAAAGTTAGAGACTTGGGATTTAACATGCAGATTATAGAATTCATACGCAGCGCAACTTTATTTCAAACCGGACCAACGCCCACAACTCGTGAAATCACTTTGAGACATGTTAGGACTTAGTATTAGGCTCTGTGTGTGTGTTTCGACAAAAGGTGGACACGAACAATTTTAAAATCAAGCTATAAATTTAAAAGTTTTAACAATTATGTTTTGTTATGACGTTAGTGCATATTTGAAAAATGGAGTTCGAGCATAGCAGCGAAGAGCACACACAGTCAACATTTTATAAAAATTCTGATCAAATTTGGGTCTTTTTTGAGTCCTCTTTCCGATCAAAATAGGCATAAATGCGCTTGTTTTCTGATCATCAAGGTTGCTTTGTTCGGGAGAAATTAATATGTTAGCCGGGAGAGTTTCAGAAGAGTCTTATACGGTTAATTATTCTGAAAAAACGCGACTTGTTTTGGAGTCATGCTTTACTCGATTTTGAATGTTTTTCGAGAAATTTTTATAGTTGTAAGCGACTCTTCATGAAGTCATTGCCTTTCAATTGCAGGTACATAATTCGGAGCGAGCCGGATCGGTTGACTTTATCATAAGCTCCCGAAGGAACAATCAGAAAAATTAATGAAAAATATTATAACTTTGCAGATGTTTATTTTTTTTTTTAGTTCGACAAGCCGAAGCTTATATACCATTGCAGCTATTGCAAAATTTAAATATTCTTGAAAACAGTTTAATTTCGGTTTGTATGCGTACATGTCTAACAATATTTAAGCTATGGTAATTTTCAGTTTAATTATTCGATCGTTCCTTTATGACAGCATTTTCCAATTTGAATTAAATTAAAATATTAAATCTGAACTATCAAATTAATATTTCTAAAAGAATTTTCAAAATAAAATTCAAAAATAGAGAAGTTATATTCTGATTGTTTCCAAGGGAGTTATATGATTTAGTCGTCGAACTTAAATAAAGTTTGAAGCGACATTCTGGTATATTTAGACTGTAGTATTGAACTAAAAAAAATGTTATAACAGCAGTTCCTAAGGGAGCTATATTATATAGTCTCCCGATCCGGCTAGTTCCGACTACCTGCAACAGGAAGATAACTTTTGGGAAAGTTTCATGCAGATAGCTTTTATTCTGTCTTCAGACTAACATATTAAAACACATTTTTTTCGGCAAAATTCCATTTTATTTATCATCATAGTCCTCTTTCAAAACGATAAAATCAATCCAACGCTTTTTCAATCTTTCTATACTGCTTTTATAGAACGATTTGTCGAGGCCCTTAAAATGCGTCAGTTTCGGCGATTACTTCCTTATTCGAGTCAAATTCTTACCACGGATTATATTTACGAGTTCTGCGAAGAGCGAGGAGTCGCTGGGGCCAGATCTGGAGAATACGATGGGTGCGGCAGCAATTCGTGACCCAATTCATGTATTTTTGCCATCGTTTTCATCGAGCAATCGCGGCACCCATTTCGAAAAAAGCTTTTTCATCAACAAATGTTCGTGTATTGTGCTGATATCCCTCACTTGTGCTTTACGGTTGTCTATAATGTTTATCCTATCATTTTTCTAAATTTTCTGGTGTAACTGCCTCATTTGGCCGTCCAACGCGCTCAGCATTATCGGTGCAAGTACGACCTCTTTTAAGCTCAGAATACGAACAACAAATGGTTGATTTTGTTGGTGCAGAGTCTGAATAATACTCTTCAAGCCATTTATGACATTGAACAGTATTTTTTTCACCAAATTTTCAATTTTTTGAATTCCGCAAAATTAGAGTCACTTACAGCACTGTAACTTGTAAACTATTGCTTGGATTGTTATGATATTTTGACAGTATGCCTAAAAAGGTTGTCTCTTTTGAATTGATTAAATACAAGTAGCGGAATCTAGGTAATTGAACGAAGTAATAAGCTTCGGCTTGCCGAAGTTTCTTTCCTATCTTGTCGAGTTATATTTGAATCGCATTTCGCTCTTTTTCGACCCAAAATAAAATAAATATTAAATTCTTCAATAATATAGTATTTAATTGATATGTAATTACTTCTTATTTAACGACATATAATATGTGAACTTAAATGATAATTTTGTAATTATTTTGTATTTAATATTATAATGAATTTCTGCCGCGCGGTGCGGCTGTCGCTACGGAAAGTAGAGCCGATACTTTTTTTATTAGTTGTGAAAGCCCTTACTATCAATCTCCCGCTTCACATTGAAGTCAAAACACAAACACCAGTGATTATTTTCCTTTGTGCCTTTATTCCCTAAGGTCAGCACGCGGTCGGGATGTCGACGACTGCCCACCGATAAATGAGAATTAGAGAGAGAAGTGATATGACAGCCGGACTGGCAACTGTTCGTAACTATCGCGAACTTTACAACGTTGTATCGTTATCCGAGTATTTAAAGCTCACTGAAAGGGTTTCCGTAGATCTGGTTACTTTCATTACAATATATAATATTTATAAAGTGCGTATATATTTATTCTAATATTTTACAACTAATATACAGTAGACTATTTTTAAAAACATGTAAACATGTTTTAGAAATTATTTCACATAAATAGTACGTTCTGTACGTTAGAAAATTATAAGAACATTAAATAAATTATTAAACCGCTTCATTTTGACCCACGTTGTTTTGCGCCCACAAAAAACTTTTGCAGAAGTTCATGTCCTTCTCATTACAAATGAATTTTGAGTACCTAAGATAAGAACAAAAAATATATATTTATAAGTTATATTATTATTTACATTTCCTATTACTATAATAATTACTTACTTTTAATAATTTTGACGAGGAAACACTTTTCGCCGCTTAGCTTAGTGCTAGTCCCCTTCCAGCTTTAAGATGAAGGCAATTCGTCTGTAAATATCCTTCGAATGGCTGCCCTTATAAATTGTTTTAGTTCTTCACCGACTGTTGTGACTATACATTTTTTCTGACAATTCATGTTATTAATAAACAAATTAAAATAGGGTCCAATATATATATTACTTACAAATTCCTTCTTAATCTTTTGTAGCTTTAAAATTTCCGCCTTGAAAGATCTATTTTCATTCTGTGAACTTGTGGTGTTTTTAATTAATTAATTAATTAATTATTATACACGCCACACAAGGATGGTCTTTGTTTTCGTATATGCGTAGGAGTTTTCAAAGATCCCAAACATTCGGGTATTAAGTGCAGGGCAGGTAAAAGCTTGTCAGTAGTGTAGTGTTGTTATAGGAGGCGTCCGTGTTAATCACGAACAATAATCCACAGGTTCGCTAGGTGCCGTCTGCGGAGACGTCGTCGACCCAATAGTGTAGCAAGCCGTCTAGCCAGGCGGTTCATGTGGTCCACAAGCGATCTCTGTATCGATTTGAGCAGCTAACCGTCGGCACTCCCGTGTCCTGAAACCACACACGATTTTCGACACGCGGTCGATTTGTCCTTTCCAACAAAGGCGTCGGTCCAATGCTCACCTAGGTAGGTAACCTTGTCTTTAAACTTATGCCCATTCCCATGACGGTAAAGGCTACGCGAACGGCCAGGGCGGAGAGTAAATGTGACGTGCTGCGTTTTGTCGACGTTCAGTGCAATGTTCCACTCAGAAGCCGCAAACTCGAGATTATGTAAAAGCGCCTGGACACGCCGGGAGGCAGGCGATGGGGTACTACAAACTGCAAGAAATACAGTGTCATCTGCATAGGTGGCCAGAAGTGTACCGCGTGCAACTGGGTTTTGAAAATCCGACGTATAAACTGTATACAGGACCGGACCCAGAACGCTTCCTTGCGGGACCCCAGCACGAATTGGGCGTAGTCCAGAACGATGCCCATGGATATCGACAGCAAACTCCTTTTTATCCAAGAATGACACGATTAGCTTCCATATTCCGTCAGGGAAAAGTGGAATTAGTTTGTAAAGGAGACCTTCGTGCCAAACCCTGTTCCAGGCCTTTCGAACATCAAGAAAGTCTGCTGAGCAGTATTTGCGATCTTCCAAAGCACCCAGTACATGATTTACTACTCAGTGCACTTGCTCAACAGAACAATGACGACTTCGAAAGCCAAACTGGTGGTCTGAAAGGGCTTCATCAAACGCAGCTATTGCTAAGAGCCTAGCATGATCCGCATGATCTCAGAACAAGATCGTCCTTTCCTCTTTTTTGGTACCATTGTGACTAGAACACGCTTCCAAGGGGCTGGAAAATGATCAAGGTCTAGGGAGGCATTAATGAGTTGGCAGAGCTGCGAAATGACTGAGCTAGGCAGAGCCTCTGCTACCTTTCCGTCAATCGCGTCTATGCCAAGAGCCATTGTGGAAACTATGATCACGAACCTCATCCTCGCCTACTGGACGCTTATCAACAGAAGGGCTAAAAGAGAGTTCTGACACAGCAGCCTTCCACCTTGCTTTGCCGATGGTATGCCTCGTCCTCTCCAGACGCGGCGGAGTGCATGACCTTTTCTGGCCAAGGCAGCAATTTCTGGCTTCGAAGTATACCAAGATGGAGCAGGAATAGGAACACTTTCAGCAGCTTGGTGGATCTGGTCAACTAAGAACTCAGCAGAGAAATCAACTTCGTCCACGTTAGCAAGAGAGGGATGGTCCTGAGTCAGGACAGAAAGTAGGGCACCGAAACTTCAAATATCCGAACCACGAGGCAGAAGCCTGGTTTTGGTAACGACCGTATGACAGCAACGCAGAAACAATAGACATCAGAGTGTTTTCCCGAGTGCACAAACGCCTGCATCCCCAGAAATTGTGATGGGCATTCTGCGAATGCGATTACCCACAGAGGCAAATCGGTGCAGATATTCATGAGCTGACCAAGAATGACGGTGACCAGGAGGGCAGTACAAAGCACCGAACGAAATTCTGCCAAACCCAGTTACCAAATAGTCTAAGGAGCACTGTGACAATGTTTAACACTTTTAACAGAGATTGCATTAAGTGATGTTCTGGCTAAGATCTATATCTTAACGAATAATTGGTCCTAGCCAAAGTGTTGGACTCTGGTGCGAACATAAGTCGATGTTTTTACATCTGACTTTTTTGTGTACACCGTCCACCCACTATGCCCCTTAGTTTCTAAAATATACGACTTTGCCGGTGCATCCATGACGAAAAATTTTATAATTATCTTAAAAAAATTATTAGAAAAAATTAAGCCCTTCTGTGAAATAATATTAAATTCTGAAATAAATTCTTGAAAGAAATCATGACACAATTTGGCTTTGACCTTCCTTTTTATACGCCAATGAGGAAAACATATTTGGTGTCTGCAACACTAACACTTTTAAGTAAAAGGTGGCCATCAATACCCAAATCTAAAATCTAAATTTGAAAATATTCAGTTCTTAATAATTAAGAAAACAGTCAATCCGTAGTGTATTTTTGTACCCTCCCCAACTATTCTCTGAGTTACTGTTGCAGGAGTCTTTAATATGGTCCTTGCATCTTTTGGAATTTAAATATTACATTTCCGCAATAGTAAGAGCAGTGAATTAATTGCTACAAAGCTTATTCCACATTGAGTTGCTCACTCCTCCCACAAACTAATTTCTTGATATTCACTTTCACTATCACTGGAATCATTTACAAATGTGTCCAATGAGTTTCCGATATGAAAATCAAATCCGTTTTTTTTCTCCAAACAGCTCTGCATCTTTCGCGGCCGTGTGCTCTTGAGCTTTTGTCTTCGCAAATACAAAATTGCCCTTAACCACTTAGCTTACAATAAGTTTTTTTTTGCCAATCTCGTCAATTGTTTTGCTGACACTGTGTTATATGTCTTAAACTTATTTGTTTTACACTTACATTCTTAGCACTTTACTCCTTGTTTTCTCTCTGCTGTGTACTTTCGGAATGAAACCAAAGAAAAAATGCAGCAATTTAGAGCGGGAGCTTAAAATTTATAAGAAGAAGTACCGTTTGAAAATAGTTAACGAGATAAGAAGTTGATTCGCGTCTACCTGTTCATTAATTTAGTAAAGCAAAGCAACACCCCGATAATAACATTTCAATCCCCAAGATAGATTTGCGGTTGCCTTACATGTTGTATACCCTTGCAATGGGTACTATAATTTTAGTCAGAAGTTTGCAACGCAGTGAAGGTGGCATTGCCGACCCTATAAAGTATATAAGTTAGTTAACTAAGTTAATCAGGCGACGACAATGACCGATCGTCCGACAGCTTGCTCCGGCCAAATTGCTGACACAGCGTCTGGCCGGAAGCCCGTGCATAGCCGGCAAGCACTAACCATTGGAGTGGCCGCTATGAGTTTCATTTATGTTAGCTTTAAGTTCAGTTCAGATTTGATATCCAAAGAATAAAGAGCTACTGCTCGTGTAAAATCAACTCCGATAATCTGTCGTTAAAACTTAATTATTGAATAACTGTCTGAGTCCCTAGGCCAATAGGTAAAGAAGGGCAGTCACTTTTCCAACGTAAACTTCCTAATTCCTAATACCGACGAAAGCAGTCGCAAAATACTGCTGATCGTTAGGAATAGCTCCATAACTCGGGCACATCAGATACATCCCAACACTTTGTCACGTTACAACACTAGACTACAGCGGAGACTTCGGGAGCAACAAATTCAGGAAATGGCAGAGGAGAGACTTATTACATATAGGACCAGTTCCCAAAATTCGTCTAGCAGAATCTTTCAGACAGTCGCAGCGAAATATTGCTGCTCGAGCTGAACTTTCTCCTGATGAAAGGGAGGATCAACGGGAACTACAGCGCCGGAGGAGGCGAAACACTGCGAGGGAACAATATCTACAAAACATTAAGGAGGGACCAAGTGAAAGATGTTCATGCTGTGGAGGAACATAGTTTTCATCCCAGGTAAGTGGTTTGAAAAAAATTTTTATAGCTTCTAAGTTCCCCAACATGTACATAGAGTAGGAAATTTCAGAGTCCGTCCGGCAAATATATATTTTGCAGTACATGTCGTCAAGCCCTTTCCAAAGGTAGACTACCATTTCTTTGTCTCGCCAATGGTTTAGACTTTCCAGAAATTTCAGAATGCCTCAAGAACTTAACACGTCTTGAAGAGCACCTTATTTCTCCCCGAATTCCTTTCATGCGCATTATCTCCCTAGGATATGAAGGGCAATGTTGAATTAGAGGAGCAGTGGTAAATGTTCCTATTTCTGTGCCAGACACTGTAAGTGTGCTTCCCCGCTCCTTTGACTCCACTCATGTAATCCAAATTCACCTTAAAAGGAAACTTAAATACTCTCATAATTTTATGACGGAAACTATTCGGAAGCACAATATACAGAAAGCACAATATAGCTTTCAACGGTGACTGGCTTAATCAAGAATGAGATAGGGCAGAATTACCTTTTATCGCAGATGAATCTGACCGAGAAGCAGTTAAAGAGATTTTACGACAACAGTTGTAATCCCAACAAGTCCTCCAACAAGAAGAAGACTTAAATCCTGGCGGTCATGAAAATATATTAGAAAACAACAATACTGAGCTTTAAAGTATTGCAATGACCCCTGAACATTGCCGCCATCCAACATATCTGACCCTAGATGTAGATGTGGAAGAACTATCATTCTCAACTATATATTGCGGTGTAATTTTTAAGGAAAATGTGACCTATGCAAAAAAAAACTAGATCACAGATTCGTTTCTACGATCGTCGCTGTGCTTAGGTACCTAAAGTCCTTTATATTTATTCGTTCAATACCAGCGCCAAAAGCACAGTTCTTCCTGTTTAAGAGAACTGCGGGGCCAGGAATTCTGTCGCTTCAATATGCCGTGCCCTCCAATGTCTGAAACTCTGGTTTTATCCATTGGAAGAAAATGGAACCAATGTTGAACATTATAAACAATTGTTAAAAAAAATGAAGGAGCTTTTAAATTCTAGTTCCGATGTAGGAGCAGCCGCATTTAATAATTTTGAACTTTTCCTGGCCCACCTTGAGATTACATTTGAAGAATATAAGTTCGCCATTCAGTCCAGCCTTAAAAGGCCTCAGTTATTTTTTCGGCGCAATTTTGGGATTACATAGGGCAAAAATGGATATTCAATTTATCCTAGACGAGTTCGACTGTTGCAGCTATATAGTTAACTACATTAACATATCCAACCGTGGCGTATCGCAACTCCCTCACGAAGCAATGACCGAAATAAGCCATGAAAATACTTCTGTTAAAAGAAAATTGCAGCATCTCGGGAGCAAAGTCATAAACGCTACGGAGATATCTGCCCAAGAAGCAGCTTACAACATTTTGGGGTTACACATTTTAGAGGCTAGCGAATGAAATATTTGTATTGACACTTGCCATCCAGATAAAAGAGTGCGGATAGTACGATCTAATAAGGAACTAGCTCAGCTTCCTGACAACTCAACTGCTATCTTTAAGAAAAACTTAGTTGATCGGTACGTATTATAGTCAAAGTGTCTTGCATTATTTGCGGCTTGGTATAAATTCGGCAAGTCAAACGCGCGATCAGAAAGGTCCAACGAAAATTATGATGAATGGATCGACTTGGAACTAGACGATGAAAACGTCATTGGTGAACAAAGTTACCTACTTTAAGATGGGACTGGTAGTGTGAAAAGACGAAAGCATGCATTAATTTTTAGATGAGATCGTTTCACTATAAACTCTTCCCCATCTGATTGTTTTAGAGAGCATGTAATGCTTTTCTTCCCGTGGAGCAGTGAGGATAGGGATTTTAATGAAAGAACATTCGGAAATTATTTTGAAATAATCAAGGCAAACAAAGAGCAATATGATGTTTTTGATTATATGGAATTTGTCCGCGCCAAGGAGGGGCCACTGTCCGAATTATTCGTTAACAGTCGAGAGCAGTTATGTCCAGATGAACTCTCATCTCGCTCTCGGTCTGTTAACAGTCTCCACCCCCGCTCTCCTAGCATTAGATTTAAGTAGAGTAAGGAGTTCTAAGTTCGAAGCCACAAAGTGAAGTCGTGCAAGTAAAGTGAAATAAATCATATGAAATAAAAATCACCAGCATCCTCCAAGGGCAGAAATCCGCCAACCCCCCCAACTTTTCAGAATTGGAGAAAGTTCTTCAAGATTTGCAAAATTTTGATAGAGAAGCCGAACGTTGGACAAAACGTAAATATACTCCAAGATGAAGTTGAAGTAAATAGCTCAGAGGAACCAGAGGTGAACTCCAACTTATTAGACTCCCTCCTTTGGTATCTAGTGACACCCTTTGCTCCTTTACTAGGTCGCTATACTTTAAGCTACGGCAGTATTATGCCCATGTAATTCATAATGATGCAGCAAAAAAAATATTTCTTGAATATGTTGGTGGAGGTGCTGGGCGGGCAAATAAGCTTCCTGGGGCAACTGATTCTGCAAAGGTTTTACTTTGTGCTCCTACTGGAAAAGCTGCTTTTGGAGTTGGAGGTCTTCTTCGCTACAGGTTAATCAACCATCAGGTCCCTTAAGACCCTAAACACTATGCATTGTAAGTTAATAGACACTGAACTAATTATTATAGACGAAATTTACATGGTTGGATCGAAAATAATTGGGTTTTTAGATCAAAGACTTCGTTAACTTTTTAGAACTCAAGATTTAATTTTTGGGGGTAAATCAATTATAGTGTTTGGGGATCTGAAGCGGCGCAGCCCAGTTGAAGATCGTTGGATATTCCAAGGAAATGGTAATAGTCCCTACAATTGCAACAACTATTGCCGGAGATAACCTTTGGAATAATTTTATGTTTTTTGAGCTTACAGAAATTGAATATCATGTCCGAGGCAAACATGACAGACGCAGATGTAGAGCTTCTTAGGCAAAGAGTTTTGTTTAACCTACCGAGATCCCCGATGACGCAGCTCATTAATTCTGCTCTTATGATGAGTTTGCCCAGTATAACACCTTAAAGCTTGCCCAAATTCAGACTGAAGAGTTCTTTTCAACTGCCATAGATACTGTTAAATCAGCAAATATGACAGAAAGGAATAGAGGCAGAACATTAAGAATGGCCCAAAATATGAATCCTCTGAAGCCCAGGGAACAGTAAATAATCTTCAGCTCAAGATAAGAACTAAATACATGGTTACCGTCAGTGCTCATCACGAAGATATTGTTAACGACAAAATTATCTGCTCCGCAAACTTTTTATGTTTCGTTGAAACCTGGACTCTTCCACATTAAGAGTTATGCATAAGGGATTTCGACATTATAAGAAGAATAAATAACAATCGTTTGAACGGTATTGGGAAAAACGGAATACTCATCTTTGCTAAGCAGAGTATTTCGCAAAATTGGTAATATTAGGAGATATTGATATTTGCAGATCCTCAAAGTGCGATTCTCTGGATATAACCTTTTGGAGTCAACAGCTCTCCAAAAAAGCACCTTAAGCAAATCGATTGGATTTTTACTGATGCTCGAAAACCGGAAGCTTTCGCCTTAACTTATGAGACCCCATATAGTCATCATGACGGAATTTTCCTTAGGTATAAATTGTAAAAAAGTATAGGTAAGCACTAAATTGTAAAAATATTAAATACTTTTTAAATAAATAAATTATAATAATAATAAATTGTAAAAATATAATTTTATATTCTTATTGTACATATTTATCTATATTTTTAAAACGTTTAATAATAAATTATACATATTTAAAGGTTGCAGTTTTTCAAAAATAAAGTATTGTCGCCAAAAACAACATAGAAAATAATAAGCTAATATTGTTTCCACCTCGTGGATTGAGACCTTGTCGTGGTGTGGAGCTTAGTACGTGAATTTCGAAATATATATCACTGAAACTACAAGCAATCCTCTAAAATTAAATAATATTGTTATCTACATGTTTATATGATAAAATATTGTCGTTTTACACTATTGTAGAAGGAAATTTTAAGTTTTATTAAAATTTTATTAATATGGCTGTCATAATAATTTTCTTCCAAAATAAATATACAGAATAATTGTTATGACTGCAAAGGGTATATAAACTACGGCTAGCCGAAGTTTGCTTCTTTTCTTGTTTATTATTATATCAAGAATTATATTTTGCGAACATTTACGCCATTTTCGAGTTATTTTCAAGTCATTTTTTAATCATTTAAATGACTTGAAAAAGCTGATTATTGTAAAAGCGAATGCTTACTGGGCACATTCTAATAAATGCACGCACCTAATTTGTGTGAGTTATTTGCACGGGGAACTTGTGAATGTGTGTGCCGAAATTGCTGTCGATTTCACACACACTCACTGTTCGTGTGTGCTCTGCCGCTACTCTGCATAAGATAGTGTCGCTGTCGAGGGGGTGGGGTGCTGCTCGCTCTTTGCTTGTGTTATCAATGCACTTCGGCAAATGGCGCCAGCTATAACCCGATTGTTTCTGGGGAATATTTTTAATGAAATATGTTAGCTGAGTAACGGGTATATAATAGTCGGGTATTTTTTCTGTCATTAACATATGAATTTCACAAAGTGTCACTGTGTTGAAACAATTCTGTGTTTTTAGAAATTCGAATTAACTCTGAGACTCGTCGTACGTTGCAGGAATTTCTTCAATTTCAAGTGTGAGTACTGGTTTACACGTTGCTGGGGCACAGAAGATCAACCTTTTCAGAAAGCATCAAATTCATACAAAAGCTAGGTAATTGGGTGTCTATATACTGAAGACGTTGAAAGATCAGTTGTTAAATAGTGATGAAAATTTGAATCATTACGGAAGGCCGAAGCGTACATAACTACCTGTGAAGTCAAGGCAACCAGCCAAGTCAACTGCAAAGTCGAATCTTCATGATGCAATCCCACTTTTTGGTGGGTTCAAGTTTGAGATGTTAAAATAGAATGAGACGATCGCAGGGCATCTCTACCAACAAAAATTGATCCGTTTAAAGAATCCTTTCCTTATAAATATTTAAATAATCTTTAAACTAAAGAAAACTGTCTGGGTGTATATTCGTCCTCGACGCCCGATTGCTGCTAACGATATCCGGATTCATGTGGTGCCTCTTATTGAGAGCTGTATAGCGGCGACGTTAGACTAAACTACCACTGGTCTGGGCTCTCCTGGAAATCGACTCAAAAGCACCGTTTTACATTAACGAGCAGCTCTCTGTAAAAAAGAAGATGAAGAGACTTTAAACTCTTACAGCAGTATTTACTTAGCGTTCTCTTGCGCATGTAAAAGCGGCGGGTTGCGAAAACTACATCTGCATTCGGAGAAAGGACGATCTAAAACTACTATCTCGGCTCCACCGAATGAGCATAGCTTTTGCTCCAAAACATCTGGGATTCAAAAAATGTTTTATCTTGTATCTTTAAATTTACATTTATTCTCCCTTGTTCACTTGCTCAGTTTTTCAGTTCAGTTGCTTCCATGTTCACTTGCTCAGTTTTTCAGTTCAGTTGCTCAGAAGCTTTCTCAGTTACTTAATGTTCTTTATTCGCAAAATTGTTCTTTTTGCTGACTAGTTCTCTTTTCTCTTAATTTTTCTTTTGCTCATTTTTGCTCTCTTTAATTAATTTATTATATATTCCCAGAGCTGCTTACTTACTATTTTTAATTTAGTCTGATATACTAACATTCTTTTCTTTGACACAATATCATAATTTTACATTTATGTATAATTATTAATTTATTTTGTTATTATTTACTTATTTATTATTTTTGTATTGCTATTTAAAAATGCCAATTTAATAGAGTTGAGCTCGTATTGGTTTTTGCGTGCAAGTCGAAATGGCTAGTAATATAAAATAAGCCATTTCTTCAGCAACTGTCATACGTTTTACAACTGACGGATGGCGGTGATAGCTCACTTTATTAAGAAGGAATCTTGTGAAGCATTTATTGAAAGACATACCAGTAAAAATTACGTCCGCCAGCGTCGCTAAGCTAGTGGGAGCTCTAAACTTAGTTGTCAAAATGGGTTAACAAAAATGCATAAGAGAGTTAAAGCTAACGTGAAATATTTAAATAGCAGCGAAATTATTCTTTAAATATTAAAGAAAATGAATCTGTCAGATTTCAAGCTGGTTCAAGATGGACAAACTCGTTGGAACTCAAAATTTTACATTTTTGAGCGTCTTGTAAAATTGAAAGAGGCAAACATGGTTGCTGTGCCAATTTTTCGACTAGACTCGGTGTTGAAGAAGTGATACCAGTACTGAAACCGTTTTATCGGGTAACAGTTGCAAAAACTTCTAAAAGAAATATTACTATCTCAAGGGTCATCATTCTAAGCAATGTGGTACATTTAAAAATGGAAAAAAAATCTTCAGAGCGAAATGGCCCACCGTTTCAAGATTTGGAAGAAAATGAGCATAAACTGGATGACCAAGAGGTATGTTAAAATTCGAAGAGGAATTCCTCAACAGAATGCCTCTGGTGACATTTATCCTCAATTGTATAACATTGCATTACAGCAAATATGTTTGCTAGCAACGTCTGTTCCTTGCGAAATGTTTTTTTCTGAATCTGATGAAACAATTACAAAAAGGCGATCTCTGTTAAACAAAATAAGGTGGAAAGCCTTATGTTTCTTTACAAATTTTTATGTCAGTTTCTTAACTTAATCAAATAAAATATGTTTAGCAGGGACTGCAAATAAAGATTATTCATGTGTTCGTTTAATCAAAAAATCAACCACTTAAAATCGCCATACAAAAACAATTAAAAACGTCATATTGATTATCTTTGCCAATCTATCCATTTCTTTAAAGATTTCAAAATTTTTAATTTTATAATATTCTTTAAAAATAATAATTATATTTGAGCAAAAAAATAATTTTTAGAGATTTTAGTTGATTAAAAAAAATAAAACTCAAAAATAATCAATATATTTTTATTCTTTTCTATCAAAATAAAACTAATTTTGAAACTGCGCTTCTGTGTGCAGAGTTTGAACGATATTTATTCATAGACCTATAAAATGACCCTAGAGCTACCACCTAAGAAAAAAAAAATTATTATAATTTAACCTTGTAAAAGGCATTATAATGTTGTTCAGATGCTTGTAAGGTAGATTCGGATGATGACAGCTATTGCCCAAAACCAGTGAACCTGGAAACAAATAATGAAGTACTTGAAAAAAATGTTCTTTACCAATATTTATATGAGCTAGCCAAGGTGCACTGTGTTCTTAAGACTTAAGTTAGCGTTGAAATGACATTTTCTGCTTAGGCCCAAAATTTGAATGACCTTTTTTTATATGAAGTTTTTTGTTTTGGGAGCAAGTTTGGGAGCCTGAATACTAAGCCCTATTAGATGCAACCTTTCAAGTGCTTCCTTGGCTATGCTACTTTTTGTTAAGTTAAACAAAAATTAAAAATATATAAATTTAGGCAACTTTTTTTTTTTTGGTGGGCTAGAGTGTCTTTGTGAATTACGGCGGATTCATTCATAACTAAAGCAGCGATCTAAACTAATTTCAAGGATTGGCAATACTTTCGCCAATACCTTCCTAAACTACAAATTGTTAAACGTCCGTGAAATGTCACAGTAGCGTACGCAGAATTTGTTGGAGGAAGTCTTCGATATTATGAGAGCAAATATTTGATTGTTTCGATAGTATAGAAAAATATAGTGGTTGTTTTTTTTTTTGTTTTAGGATAATAAAACACAGCATATAAAAACCGAAGTGTTAATACCCTTTCAGACTTTGCCAAAATTGCTAAAGAGTATAACATTTTAACCGATTTCACCCCATTGTTTCTATGGGAGCTATAGGATATAAAGGTCCGATCGGCACCCTTACTCTTATTAAGGTAAGATTCATGCCAATAGCTTATATACTGGCGAAATATCCAGAAAAACATTTCACCCTATTGTTTCTATTGGAATGACAAAGTGTAGTGATGCGTTTACCACTATCGTTGACTACGGAAACAAAAACCTTAATTTTTTAGCACAAAGATTCAATATATCGATAATATTATTAGTGACCAACACATTTTGGGTTGCATCGAAAACACATCGTTTAAATAATAACTGGAAATTTTTGGCACGGCAAAAGCTAGCGGACCATCCCTTAAATAGATGGTGCTCTGCGCATCTAGGTTATCATTGCTGAAAAAAACTATATGGCAACGTAAAAACCCAGTTGTTTCATACATATATGAAAAATGTTGCTTGCGATTTGTTTCAGGTTTAGAGTTTGGATCCATTGTGTTGTAATCAACTCTGTGGCGACTGACGTTGAGTATCAATTACGAATGTTCTTTCCTCTTCAAAAAAAAGGAACTATTTGATTGCTCCTCTTATCTGAGCACCGCTTAGGTACGCGGATTTGACGAGAAGTTAGCTGTTGCCAAACAAGTCTGCCGAGAACTGTACGCTTAACAGCCGAACACAAGAAAGCCAAACAATACACAACACTAGAACGATCCATCAAAGTTGAAACCGGCCTTCTAGAACACATTTGCTGCATGAAGGGAGTCGCTGTGCACTGTGCGGCTGTCAATCGGACCAAGTATTACTTTCCGTTGCCCTCGACTTGGACACGTAATGACCGTGTCCTTAGAAACGGACATATGTATGTTTAAATTCGATTAATTAAGATATAAGGAACTTACTCTCGTAAAACTTCTTCTCCTTGTCGGCGTCTATTTTGCCGAGGGCACAGCGAAGGTTGCTACGCTCCTCCTCGTCTAGGTTGCATAAAAGCTCCATAGCCTTTTCCGTGGACAAGTGTGTGTTGAACTTAGAGTAGTTGCTAGAAGAAGTGGTGCAGGTGGCAGCGTTAGAGGAGCACGGAAGGTTCAACAGCTGGCTTCCCAATAACTGGCCATAGGGCCACGACTGTTTAATCGGTGAAGAATTGCACTGGCGCACTAGGTTCCAGAGCATGGTATGACAGTGCTGTCGCATTGTTGATTTACACCGGTTTTATTTATTGTCTATTATACAATTTTAATTTCACGCTGAATATTCTTCCTCGCGTTTTGGTATAATCAAGAAAATAAACTGCCCCACACACATGCACTCAAAATTGTTTACACTTCGTATACAAATTCGCTAAGCGTTTTGACGTACAAAATACAGTGTGACCGCGAATTCATTGATATAATAAACGTGCGTCAATTTAACGACGGTAGGTTAGCGACGAAATGGGAACGGTGAAGTTTGAAACAGGTTGTGGTCTTTGAAGATGTGGGGGGTTTGGCGGATTTCTGCCCGTGGCAGTGGTTAGTGGAAATGGCGACTCGCTGGGTTCTTTTTTTTTCAACTTTCATTTAATGGAATTTTTCACAACGTTAAACTTCACACTCTGGCTTCGTAATTAGAACTAACTAACTCTACTTAAATCTAATGTTAGGAGAGCGGGGGTGGAGACTTTTAACAGAACGAGGGCGAGATGAGAATTCATCTGGAATTCTGGAATTCATAACTGCTCTCGACTGTTAACGAATAATATCGACAGTGGCCCCTCCTTGGCGCGGAGGGTTCCTGTGTCGAGTACCACGATGGCCGTCGGGATGATTTGCACACTCCGATGCTGCAACAGAGACGCCACAGATGGAGTTGCAGTTGGCGCTTCGGCCTGGTCGGAATGACGGGAATGATTCCGCAGGCTGGGCGTTGGACCCCGAGAGCGTGAGCCGGAAACTGATGGACGTGACAAAGTTACCGAAGGTCGCACTGGAGAAATTGACTGGGGTCGTGAACTGGAAGACTCGCGCATATGGAGCAACGTGTGGTGGTCCTGCCCACATTTTTTGCACGTGTCTCCGCTGCGACATACTTCTTCGGAATGCTGATGCGCCAGGCAATAAGCGCAGTATTTGTTAATGATAACGGCGCGGAGACGCTCAGAAACCTGTTGCATTTCCGTAGCGGATGGATTCCCCGACAGACTCGGCAGCGGTAGGATCGAGTACCTCGGGAACGTCTGTCGTCCAGAGTTTGGGCGCTGCGAGGTCGTGGAGCCATGGTTTTAATGCTTTAATATAAAAAAAAATAAATGATAAGTTCATTTAGTGTCAATCGTGAACGAATTTTGGAGCATGAGGACAGAAGGAACTATTTTGGAAGTACTGAGGTTGCATTGGCCTCCATAGGAAGAAGTACTAGGTTATGGACGGGACGTTTAATAATTCCTCGAGCGGTACGGATTTCTACTATGCGAACTCTACTATCGGCCCCTGGAAAGACAGATACAACTCTGCCGAGCCGCCAGTCGTTTGATGGCATATTGTCTGCTTTGACGACCACCATATCATCGACTTGTAGATCCTTTGAAGGATTCTGCCACTTATTGCGCTTGTGCAGTTCTTTTAAATATTCCTCTTTCCATCGCGTACTGAACTGCTGATGCAGGGCCTTTAAATGTTGCCAGCGATTTATAATCGACTTAGCGTCGCCCTTAATTTTGGGCTCAGCTGGGGAAAGCAACGGACCCCCAATCAGAAAGTGGCCTGGCGTTAGCGCCAACAAATCAGAAGGATTTTCCGATATAGGAGACTGTGACCTGGAATTAAGGCACGCTTCAACTTTGGCAAGAAGGGTAGAGAGCTCTTCAAACGTGTACTTCCGACTTGACGTCGACTTGTAGAAAAGTGTTTTAAAGCTTTTCACTCCAGCCTCCCACAGTCCTCCCATATGTGGAGCTCCTGGTGGAATGAAACGCCACAAAAGTCCCTGATGGCTATAGGCATCAGTCACAGACTCCTTGATCGCTTGCATAAAATCACGCGAAAGTAGAGTCGCTGCCCCCACAAAGGTTTTGCCATTATCCGAATGAACCCGCTACGATTCGGGCAAATGCTGCGAGGAACTTCTCGGTTTTGAGATCGGAAGTAGGCTCTAAATGGATCGCCTTTGTGGAGAAGCACACAAACACGCAAACATATCCCTTGGTAATGAGGCATGCTCTGCCTGTATAGTTTTTTATTTCAAATGGGCCTGCATAATCAATGCCAGTATATGTAAACGGCCTGGAAAAGGAGACTCTATCGGTCGGAAGATCGCCCATTAATTGTGTCTGTAATCTCTTCTTGTAAATAGTGCACACCTTACAGAGTTTAGTACAGCTTTTACCAGATTCTTGAGTTTAGGAATCCAATACTTCGATCGAATGAGGCGTACCACTAGTTGGTTGCCGCCATGCAGGGAAATCTGGTGTGAAAATAGGACGAGCAGACGAGAGAGCCTACAGTTATATGGCAGTATAATAGGATGGCGCTCGTCATACTGAAGTGCTGTTGAGGCAGTAATGCGACCACATGCCCTTAACAGGCCGTGCTGGTCTAGGAATGGAAACAGGTTGGCTAACGGGCTGGACACTGGAATTGGACTCTTATTGTTTAGGAATTTAAGCTCTTGGGTATATTCCTCACGCTGAGCATATAGAATAAGGGCTCTTTCAGCTTCTCGGATTTCCGCCTTTGTAGGCCGGTCAGCTGGGCCCCTCGGCATCTTGCGGCAGCGTTGAATGAACCATAACACGTACGCAAGGACCCGCAGAGCCTTGTCCAACTTGGAGAATCGTTCCAGAAAATCGACGGATCGGGCCTTTGCGAAATTGACCTTCACAGCACGCTGCTCTAAGTCTGTAACTGGAGTCGCAAGCCCCTGTGTTGGCCACTTGCCTTTTGGCTGTTGTAACCAGTCCGGTCCTTCCCACCAGAGTTGGCTATGAACCAGATCCCGCAGCGAAACTCCTCGGCTGGCTAGGTCCGCGGAATTGTGCTCAGATCGCACATGCGCCCAATGCTCAGCGCTCGTCGCCTGAGTAATCTTGGTCACTCGGTTGGCTACAAACGTGGCCCAGAGGCATGCCGGTTTGTTCAACCATGCGAGGACGATGGTGGAATCAGTCCAGCAGAAAATGTCGGAATTGGAAAATGGCATATTCGGAAGGATAGCTGCGAATTTCTGACAACAACAATTGGAAGGGACACCGTTTTTACAGGTGCGACTCGGGTCTTGGCGGTAAGCAGATGTGTCATAATATTATGTCCTACTTCAACCCGCAAATATATTGCGGCCCCATATGCCTTCTGCGACGCATCACAAAACCCATGATGCTCGATCTTCGTCTCTGGCTGGAAACCAACCTACCTAGGAATACGGATTTGCTTGAGCTCGGAATAACTGCGCAAAAACTCTTGCCATCTTTGATTCATTTCTGTGGGGATATTTTCATCCCAGCCCAACTCTTGCAACCAAATTTCTTGCATAATGAACCGTAGATTCAATCGAAACTAGCGGTGGAACAAAATAGAACTCGTCCGAGGTCGCATTCCACCGAACACCAAGTGTTTTGGTAGTGCTTTCGGAATTGATATCGCGAAAGTCATCGTGGAGTAGGTGCTCGTTAGGGATATCTTCGAGTATGCTATTCTGATTAGCTGTCCACTTCCTCAACGGGAACCCGGCGAGGTTAAAAGCGTGGCAAAGCTCGCTGATAGCAAGTCGAGCCTCTTGTATGCAATTGGCCCCTGCCAGAACGTCGTCTACGTACATAAAATGCCGAATAATATTGCTTGCTTTAGGGAACTCCGTTTCTACGTCGTCTGCCAATTGTTGGAGTACGCGAAGTGCCAAAAACGGTGACGGTTTTTAGCTCGAAATCGCTTACTTGTCCTTCTTTATTCCGAAATAAAATTGTTTGGAACGGCGTGTGCTTGGGATCGACCCAGATTTGACGGTACATTTTTGTAATGTCTGCACTGAACACGTACTGGAAATAACGCCACTTCAAGATCTGAATGGTTAAATCAGATTGTAGGACTGGACCAGCATGAAGAATATCGTTCAAGCTCGTCCCATTTGCTGAAGGGCTAGAAGCATTGAATACCACGCGAAGTTTGGTGGTGGTGCTCTCGGGTTTGATCACAGCACGGTGTGGAAGATAATAGTTTGGAGTATCGTAAGACGGGGGAACTTCTCTCATGTGACCCAGATCCAAATACTCTTGAATGACTGAGTCATATTGCTCTTTTAGTGGAAAGTCTCTTTTTAAACGGTTTTCCTTCCTAAGAAGCTGAGCTAGGGCAATGGATCGCGAGTGCCCCAATTTGGAACCGAAATTTTCGGGTTCGCGAAACGGTAACGTTACCACGTATTTCCCGCTTGCGTCTCTAGTGGTGGTTTGGAGAAAATTGCTCTCGCAATAGGAATCGGATTCCTTTACCCTCTTTGTTGGTATATTCTCCACCTCCCAAAACTTCTTGAGAAGTTTTTCTAAGACCCTGTCACTCGTTTCGGTTATCTGGGTCGTGAAAGCTGCTACCCGCTTTTTTACTGATGCGTTGGACACTGGGCCGGTAAGCACCCAGCCGAAGATAGTTTCCTGTCCTATCAGAGAGCCGCAAATGTTGGTGCGCGTGCCGCTCAGCAACACGGACGATAAGATGTCGGCCCTGTGAACTCTCTAAAAATGTTGGATCTGCCAGGGGGATGGCCGGTAAATCAACCAGCGCATCTCGTGGAATTGGGTACGGCGGAAGCATTCCAGCCAGTTCTGGCAAAACGTAAGCTGTGGTTTCTAGCTGAAGGTCTGGCTTATTAGGGGCTCGAATAGAAAAATGGTAGAGCTTGGTCGCCTGAGCGGAAACGGTTTGATTTAAGCCCGAAACTTGGGCTTGGATAAGGCGGAATGGCAGCTTAATCAGATTGAACAGGCGTTCCGAAATAAACGTTGCCTCAGAACCCGAGTCTATTAGAGCACGAGCCCTGTAATTCGTTCCCAAGTGGCATATATCAATAATGGCCGTGCCTAGCAAAACCGCTCTAGCACCGGTTGCAAAATAGTTCTGCACACTGGGCGGATTTTCTAGACCGTTGGCGGCCGCTTGCACCGCTGGATTTTGAGGGCTTGCAGAGGAACTAATTGCGAAAGTTGACCCACGGGAAATGGGGTTGCCTTTATGCAACAGTGTATGATGCCGACCTCGGCATGTGAAACAGCTGTGAGCGCTAGTACAGTCACGTAGTTGGTGTCCTCTTGCGAAACAATTTAGGCAAAGCTGCTTTTTTTTGATGTAGATTGTTCGCGCATCCACAGACATCTGGAGAAAAC